CTAAACCCCCGTGCTGGCCCAAGGACACTCGCCGGCAGGTTTGCGAACCTATGTGTCTCCGCATGAGCAGCAGACGTACAGTGGAGACCCATGCAAAGAAACACCCTGCCTGCCTCCGGAGTGCCCTTGGTTTCTTGGGTTTCGATGGTTTTGCGTGACGTTCCCATACCACAAATCAATGGACGTCCTGGGGTCTCAGGGTTGGGTTTCTTGAGGAAGGTTTCTTGTGGACTGGCTCCTGCTGTACCGATTGGCCAGGCAGCTGTCCTGGACACTCGCCAACATGCTTGCGAGTCCATGTGTTTCCGCATGAGCAGCAGACGTAGTCGAGGACCGTGGCTGGCGTCCTGGCCGCAAGCCAAGGTGTCGGTCGAGACGCTCGTCATCGGGACGTGTTTTTGCCATCTTCAGCAGTTCGGCAGAAGACAGGCTCCAGTCACCCCGATGACGAAGTGACGACTCCGCGCAGCCAGCAGCTCGCACGCCTTGAGGGAACTCTTGAAGTTGCCATCGCGGGGTGAGGGGGAGGGAGGACGGAGTAACGAGAAGAGAAGAGGCAGATGAGGAGGAGGAGGATGAGGAGGAGCAGGGAGGAGGAGGAGGAGAGCGAGGGGAAGGATCATGAGGTGAGGAGGATAGGGGAAGACCGAGGAAACGTCAGGCCTTGCATCTGGCGACTGGGCGGAGGTGACGGGCGTGGACATCATCAGAACACAGCTGAAGATCGCCGGCGGCGCCTCGCTCGAGGACGCGCCACCCGCCGCTGACCTTGGAGGCAACGGAGAGAGGCCTTAGGGGGGTGGGGAGGGGGGCCCTGCGAGGCTCTCGGGGTCTTCTGTGGGGGCTGTGGTGTGCTTTCGAAGCTCCCCAGTGGTCTGGTGGGCTGCCGCCTGAGGCCTGCGGGGGTCTGTCCTGGGAGTCTCTGTTGTGTGTGTGTGTGTTGGGTGGATCCCTGTCCATGGCCTCCGAGTGGGCCAGCCGCGCTCGCTTCCCCCTTCTCGCTTCTTGACCTTCCACGCCTCGACGCTGCGTGCGAGGCCGCGACGCCAAGAACAGTGTGTGTGTGTGTGTCTTCCTGGGTGGAGGCTCTGCGGGATGCGACGGGGCTCTTGGACATCTCAGGCGTCCGAAGGCTGACGCTCGTCGCCCCCTCGGGCGTGCTCAGGCGCTCGGGCTGCCGCGGGACTCGCTTCTCTTTTGCCAGCGGGCCACGCCTCGGCGAGCGACGGCAGTCTCTGGCCTCGTCCTTCGTCGTCGCGTCGTCCTCCTGCCTCTCCTCCGTCCTCCTCGTCGCGTCGTCCTTCGTCGTCTTCTTCGTCCTCGCCCTCGTCCTCCCCGTCGCGTCGTCCTCCTGCCTCTCCTCCGTGCGGGCGGGCTGCGTGGCTTCCACCCCGCCCCGCCCTCGCTTTTTTTTTTGTTTGTTTCTCTCTCTCTCTCTCTCTCGCGCGCGCGTGCCGCCGCTGGCCCCCGGCCGGTGCTGGCCCCCGAGGGTGCAGGAGGCCCCCCCTCCGTGGAGCCGTGCCAGGATCGGGGAAACGCAAGACCCGAGTAAGCCGGAACTCGGGTTGCCGACGTTTTTTTGACGAGCGCGTCCTGGATTTTGACGGTCCAGTTTTTGTGGGATGTCTGCAGCGGGAGCCCGCGTCAAATTTCAGATTGGGCCTCGTCATTTTTATGATGGCCCCGTCGGGCCAACCCGAGTCCCCCGTACCCGAGTCTTACGTCTCCCCGACAGGAAGGAGGCAGGGTTAAGTCGGGCATGTCCCTCTACAGGAGGAATCTTCAAAACAATTCAAACACATGGTCTGGGAACGATTTTTGTTCACCATGATTTGATATGGTTTGAACATGTTTGGGCACTTTTTCCTTTTTCTTCCAAAATCCGCCTGTGGGGGAGCATGCGCGACCTAAGTCCACGCCCTTCCTCCTCCGTGGCACGGCCACTCCCCTCCTCGTTCGATCCCTGAGCTCCTGGCGCCTCGATTTTTTTGAGCCTGGCGTGTTCGCTCCATCTCGGGCGCCGGGGCCCTCACAGATCGGTCTGGCTCGAGAGATTGCGCAGAAAGGATGGGTCAGGGGGTGCCGTCGTGATGTTTGCGATGGTTCAATTTTTTTGCCACGTCGGATCTCAGGGACGGATGAGGGGGGAATGGCTCGAAGGGGAATGGAGTGGGCGAGAACTATCGGATGGGCCCCCGAGGGAGTGTCAAAAGGTGGCTGTCCTGCCCTCTGAAGTGAGCGGGGAAACGTAAGACTCGAAAAAGCCGGAACTCGAGTTTGCCGACGTTTTTTGACGAGCGCGTCCTGGTTTTTGACAGTCCTGTTTTTTCGTTGGATGTCTGCAGCGGAATCTCGCGTCAGATTTCAGACTGGGTCGCGTCAGTTCCATGATGGCCCCGCCAGGCCAACCCGAGCCCCCCGAACCCGAGTCTTACGTGAAGGCGACGAGATTCATACCTATCCACTGCTCCCCCGCCACGCCCATCCTGAACCCGCCAGCGGTGTGTACGCCACGCCCTCCTGGCTTGGCCAGGAGGGCGTATACACAGCTGCTGGGTTCAGCGTGGGCCCTCCTCCTCCTCCTCGTCCTCTGGCGGCGCGCCGCCTCCTCCTCCTCCTCCTCCTCCTCCTCCTCCTCCTCCTCCTCCTCCTGCTCATGCTCCTCCTCCTCCTCCTCCTCCTCCTCCTCCTCCTCCTCCGCATGCTCCTGCACCTGCTCCTCCTCCTGCTCCTCCTGCTCCTCCTCCTCGTCGGTGCAGGGCATCCTGCAGGGCCTGCCCGGCCCGCCGCCCCCGTGGATGCCGGTTGCCTCGGCGACCTCGGCGCCTAAGAGCAGAGTTGCGCTTACAGTGCCGTTTTTGATACATGCTCCGCGTGCGGTTCATGTATTAAAAATGCATGGATTTAGTATTAAAGACAACGATGAGTCCATGCATAAATCTATTCATCAATTGATCATATATGAAAAGTCTATGTTTTCAACCATCCCATGTGTTAAACATTGCCCTGTACGGGGCGGATATTCTGGGGGTCAGCGACCAGGTCCTGCTGACCATGCGACGACAAGCCTTCTCCACTGTGCGGCCGTTTGCCAAGGGCAGATCTCTCACCTCAGTTATCATTCTCTCGGAAGACCCGTGTTTGCGCGTTGCTTGCGCGCCACTCTTGCGTTGGAGTCCACCAATGGTCTATCCAGCACAGAGAGCTCCGAGATGGCTTCAGGAGTGTTTTCGATTTGCCTCGTGTGACCTGGCCCACCGTTAAGGGCCCCATTCTCGCCCTTTGCCTTACATACCCTGCTCAGGCTTGGTTGGATTATGGACGATTATCTCACTATCACCGATGTTCGAGGTTTGGTCCCCCTTTATTTAAGCTTCTTGAAACCTTGTGTGCAAAGAAGCGTGTCACCGTGGGCTCGAGAGGGACCTTGGGGGCAAGTGGGGTCTCGATTGTAGAGTTTGGTTTGACACCCAAGGCGGCCTGCACGAGCAAGAATTCCACGCCGGCCCAGCGAGGCTGGATCAGAGCTTGTTCTTGTGATGCCATTTGGTCAGCAGACAAGGCGCATGTGATTACCAAGTGTGGGCCGTGCCGGGAGTAATCCGCTCCTGGGCCGTCTTGGGGGGTTCTCGGGGGCCGTTTTGGGGGGCCTATTGGGGGCCTCCCTTGGATACGTGGTGGCCCTCTTAGCCGTTATCGGGATGTCTCAGGCCAACCTTGTGGCCCTCTGGGGTGCCCATGAATCAGCCGCCCGGGGCCTTCGTGGGTTCTTCGTGCCACCCAGGCACCGGGGGGAGCGAGCGTTTGGAGGACGAAGTCCCAGAACCTGCGGCCGACCTGCTACACTTTCCCGGGGCAGCCCAGGGTCCTCTCAAGAGTCGGCGAATCGGGCTCTGTGCAGCCTGTTCAGGCACGTTGGCAACCTCGCCGCGACGTCACGAATCAGGCAGCTTTCCTCGACCAGGACTGTCGCGACAAGTGCGACGTCGTCTCAGGTTCGGAGGTCCTCAGAATATTCTTTCCGATGAACTTCGGAGCATAGCAGGGCGAGCCCAGACGCCACACAGATTCCACGCAGAGATCGGGGGGCTCCAATCTCGGCCCAGGTTGGCCCCAGGAGTCCGCGAGATCTTGTGTTCCAGCTGTCCTTCTGCTGCCGCCGCTGCTCATCCCACTCTCCTATTCATCTGTACGCTCCTGCTCCCTGCTCCGGATCGGCCTCCCGCATCTCTTCCAGGGCTGGACCAAAACGGCGTTTTTGGCGATTTCGTGGGCCGTTTTCGTTTCGACTTCGTTTTGCGGTAGAGGCGGATTCGAGACAAAAGCGAGTGGAAACGAAAACACATCGAAAACGGAAAACACCGTTTTGGTTCAGCTCTGATCTCTTTGCCTCGAGCTGCTGTGAGCCGAGCCGCAGGCCAGCGCTGCGTCGCCGAGCCCCGCTGGACCGCCACCCAGCCAGCGATGACCCGCGGGCCCCTCGGGCTCCTCGCCCTGGCGTCCCTGGCTGCCGCAAGCTCCGATGAGGCCATGGCTGCTGTGCACGCGAACTGCTACTCGCTGCTGACGGGCATGGGCAGGTATTTTGTCAGAGCGTGAATTACCTACCCCGCTTTCGCTTCCAGGAAAAGCCAAGTCATACCACGCGCCTCCTCGTCAAGCGGCCTGACCAGTACAGGCCGTAGTCTGGCATCGCTTGGTATCTCTTGGAAGCGAGGGTGGTCAAATGCGAGGTAGGTTTGTTTTCCCTTTATTTTGAGGAGGAAAAGGTACCCATACCTCTACCCTTCCCTCGTTTTCCCCTTCTTGGGCCTCCTGGGAGGTCCTCGTCGCCACCGCCGGATTCGCCCCGAGATCTTGGTCAGAGCGCTCCCTGGGGGAGGCCCGGGGCGTAGCGGTATCGGAACCTTTTGGCTTCCCCAGGTCCTCCTACAGCAAGACGGAGCTTTCGATGCTGTGCCGCGCTCAGCTTCCCATGGAGGTCTGCCACGCGGCGGCGAATGAGCTCGGGGAGAAGCCGTGGGGCCCAGCCACCATTTCGGGGGTGGACAGAACCCCCAACAGTGACACGTCGATTAGTGAATTGTCCGTTTTCGGTTCTCGAGACGGCGCCGTGGCCGTTATTTTCCAGGCTTGCGCCCGCCAGGTTTGGGCCTCAGGTCGTTTTCACTAAACCACGTTTTACTAAAGGGGGTTCTGTCCATCCCCGACCATTGGCCGCACGTGCGGGAAGTGGGAGGAGCAGTGGACCGAGCGCTCGCTGCGGATGACGCCCGAAGAGCGCGAGCTGGAGCAGACCGATTGGCAGGCAAAGATCGACGATATCACCAAGAAGAAGGCGGCCGTCGGGATCTGCGCGAACAAGACGGCGCCGATGACCATGAACGAGTGCGTCAGCTACAAGTCGAGGGAGTACCCAAAGTACCACAAGCAGCTGAACGATGCGTACAAGGTCTTCGTTTTCCTATTCACTGTTTTGCCGATCGGCGCGGGCCCTTGCACCCCCCCCATGGAGTAGCTCTTGGCTGTTTTGGAAGCCCGCTCCAGGCAGGTGGAGTCCCTCCCCCATAGGACGCACTGCTTCCAACAGTCGCGTTAAAAGCAGAGGTCCGTAGCCAGACCCCCCTCCCTCCCCCCCTCCCGCGGGGAAAAAACACTCACACACACACACACCAAAAAACACACACAGTGTGGTTTTCTCCCACAGTGTGTGTGTGTGTGTTTTTCCCACCGTGTTTTGTTGTGTTTTTTTTGTGTTGTTTTTCTTTCGCCCACAGTCGAAACGCCGAACGAAAGAGCGTCCACAAGGAGAAGCGCGCGGCCTACGATGCCGCGGGCAAGTTCGAGGTGGTCGGGCACGAGGTGCCCGCGCCGTCCAGCCCGGCCGCCGCGTCGGGCGGCGTGGGCGCCGCGGCCCTCGGCGTCGCGGGCGCCGTCGCGCTTGCCGCCCTCGCGCGCAGGAGGAGTCGGGGGCGGAAAGAGGGGGGTGATGACTAGGGGGGGGGTATCATGGCGGGGGCCATGATCTTTCCCTTCTCTTTTCATTATGATCATGGCGCCCCTTCTTATTTCTCATGGCGCCCCTTCTTATTTCATTACGTCCCTGGCCCCCCCCCCTTGGGCCGCGCACATGCTGCGGGCCATGATTTGCACCCCCCCCTCTTGGACGCCCCCCTCTTGGCCGCTCCCGAAGGAGGACCCACTCCCCGCTGGCGGAGCCGGGGGGTGACATCGACGCAGAGCTGACCCAGGGCTGATCTTTCGCGGGACTCCGCGGCCGCTGCCGGGCGCTCGGCGTGTTCGGCAGCGGCCCAGACCGGGCTTCTGACTTCAGAGGGTGCCTGCTGTCTGTCTCTCTCTCTCTCTGCCTTCCCCCCCCCCTCCCGTCCCGCGTCCTTTCATTTTTGAGTGTGGCCAACGAGACTCGACGTGCCGCCGTGCCAGGAGTCCTGGCGCGGTGCTGCGGAGCTGCCGCATGTCTCTCCTTCCTTCCTGCCTCCCTCGGCCCCTCGCCCGCTCGAGAGACTCCTGTCGAGATCGAAGCTCCATGCCCATGACAACAGCCGAGTCACATGGCACGGCTGCATGGCAGCAGGTTTGAGTTGGGCGAGACTGGCATGCTGCACTCAGTGGCATGGGGAGCGTGGCAGTCGCTTTTGTAAAGTGAGTAGTTGTAGGGTGGCAGGCATCTCCGCCGCTCAGGCGCGGCGGGTGCGGTGGCTGCCAGCGGAAAACGAAGGGGCAGGGTTCTCTCTTGTCTGCCGGGCGTGGGCCGAAGGTCAGAATCTCAACATGCATTTCTCCAGGTGTGCCCAGACTAGTTACGATACCAACGTCGACGACGATGTCCAGAACTTCAAGTACAAGGGTCGCAACAATAGAGCAAAGCGCAAGAGGTCACACCTATGCTACCAAGATGGCCCCAGAGAGCCCTCATTCCCAGCGAGGATACTTGTTGGGCTCAGCGTGTTGTCTGTCCTAGGCGCCTCTGAGGTTGCGAGAGGCCAGGAGGCTTCAAGAGGTTCCAACACGCTCCGAAGACGGTCCAAGACCCAAGGCCGTCCAAAACAGCCCCAAGCGGCCCAGCATCGGGCCCACTTCGGCCCCAGAGCCTGAAGCTCCACACGAGCCGACCTGCGATAGGCAAATAGTGGTCACGCTCCATCCTTCTCCTCTTTCTCCTCCTGTTCTTCAAACAAGCAAAATCAGATCTACTTGTCCCCCAACGCTCCCTCGGCCCGAGACGGCTCTTCGGGCTATGTTAGAACCATAGTTGGCTTTCGTAGAGCTTGCTTGGAGCCCTCTTCAAACATGCAGGGCGCGTTTGAGCCATCTTGGGGCACTTTAAATGGCCTCAGGAGTCGTTTCGAGCTTCTTTGGGAGGCTCATTGGACCTTGTGGCAGCCCTGGGTCATGGTCGAAACATCTTGCGGCGCCTTGGGTACCTCCCTTTTAGTTGCTGCTCGGCTTCTCCGAAGCTTTGTGAGAGCCATCTTCGACAGCACAGTTGGGAGTCCTACTTAGAAGCTGTACGCTTGATTGGTTTCTGATTGATTTGACCAGTTGGGGGTCACATTGCCATTGGGGCTCTGTTATACAATTTATCCAGCTGCCTACGGCAGATGCAGTCACCAGGCCAGCGCAAAAGAGCAGCAGGAAGGAGGTCCGGTGTAGGACCCGCTCCTGTTCGGTGTCTTGTTCGAATTGGCGCGGGTCTGGACCCCCCCATTCATCTCTCCTCTTCTTTCATTATTCGCTTCCTTCTCTCCTGTGAAGGCATGTTGTAAGTTTCTCGGGGGCTCCCTTGAACTCTTGAGGGCCCGTCGGGGTCCCCGTCGGAGGTCTCGGTGCTGTCTTGTGCGCGATGGTTCCACAACGTCCCCTCGCCCATTCCAGCACACCCCTCGTAGTTTCGCGACCCCGCAGGGAGCTCCACCGAAGGTCTTAGTGGCAAAGTGCCTCACACCGTTCCCCGCCCAGCTCGGCGCACCCTTCGCACGTTTGTTGGCCCCGCAGGGGGCTGCACAGAAGGCCTCAGCGGCAGGGTACAATCGGCCCAGATTAGTAGGTCGATCCTGCCAAGTCAAGGGTAACTGGGTACCCTTGTGTCCTGTGTCTCGCGACCCATGCTTCCTACATCCCTGTGGCAACGTGGCCCTCGGAAGGGTCTTGTGTCCTATCGCGTGTCCTGTCCAATCGAGTCCGACTGTATCGCAGTCTCCCCGCCCATTTCGCCCATCGCCCCCCCCCCCCCCCCGGGCGCGTGATGCGTGAGTCGTTTGTCCGCACGCGCGCGCGTGCGGGTTGAGCCCTGGCTCCTCGATCCTCGTGCCTAGGGACGCTCGGCGTGGACGTCATGCGCGGCGGGTCACAACGGTTCCCACTCCTCCTTCCCTCCTCCTCGTCCTCCTCCTCCTCCTCTTCCACGCTCGTCTCCTCCTCCTCCTCCTCCTAGTCCTCCTCCTCCTCCTCCTCCTCCTGCTCCTCCTCCTCCTCCTCCTCCTCCTCCTGCTCCTCCTCCTCCTCCTCCCCCAAGCCGCCGCTCGGGCTCGAGCTGCGGGGCCATCGCTGCGACGCCCCGCCGGAGCGCCCCGACGCAGCACCAGATGACGTGCTGGCCTGAGCGGCTCCGTCACATCGTGGAGTCGACGTTCGAGGTTAATCAGAGCGTGAATTACCTCCCCCGCTTTCGCTTCCAGGCAAAACCAAGCCATACCACGCGCCTCCTCGTCAAGCGGCCTAACCAGTACAGGCCGCAATTTGGCACCGTTTGGTATCCCTTGGAAGCGAGGGTGGTCAAAAGCGAGGGAGGTTTGTTTTCCCCCGAGTTAGTCGACCCTCAGAGCACTCCCAAAGAGCCCCAAGATGGCACATCGTAGGATGTTCCTAACATTTTGAGTATGTTTCGTCGTCGCTGTCGTCGTCGCCGCCGAACCGTCGTCGTCGTCGTCGTCGTCGGCGTTGCCGTCGTACTCGTCCCCCGTCAGGGGCGGCGGCGTCGGGTCGTTAGATATTAAGTGCTGCGCTGTTGTATGGAGAAGGCATGCAAGGCTTCGCGGACGTCAGTTTCAGGGTCCCGATTGGATGCGACACTGAATTCCGCTGAATCGCTGGGCCTTCAGCCGCACCAGGAAGCCTACCAGCAGATCTCGGTTCCGAAGACTTGGATCGGAACTTCGATGGGCAAGCTCGCTGTGCACCCGCCTCTGCCAGCGCCGCCACCCGTTGCGGTGGCCCTGCCGACCTGTTTCCAGCTCGTGCCCGGGGCCACCACTGCCACCGTGGTGGCCAAGGACTCGAAGCGTGTCGGGAAAAGCAAGATGCACAGGGATCTAGGCCTCCTAGATGGGGTCGGAGTAGATGGGGTCGGAGGATCGCACCGCATCGCCGATGCATCGGCGATGCATCAGCGATGCGGCTCGATTTGGGTCCCAGTTTTATCCACGCCGACGTCGCCGATGCATCGCCGACGTCGCCAGTGCATCGCCGATGCATCGCCGATGCATGGGCGATGCATCGCCGATGTATCGGCGATGCGGCGAGATCCTTCGACCCCATCTACTCCGACCCCATCTAGGAGGCCTCTAAGGGAGCAGCACCGCATGAAGCAGGACTCGGAGCAGTACCACAACCAGCTACGGCAGCAAGAGCCGCGGGAAGGGCACGGAGATGAAGGGGGTCAACGTGTTGGCGATGCCGCCCCCGCCCGTCCCTCTGCCCAGCCACAGGACGGCGCCCAAGGTGACGCTGTTCTCGAGGATCGGGGCGGAATCGGAGTCGTGCCAGGAGGGGGAGAAGTTTCATGATGCGGAGGCGAGGCCTGCGCTGCCGCCGCCTCCTCCGCCTCCGGTGAGGAGCGATCCGCCGAGGCGCACGACGACCCCGCCGAGGAGGATCCGGACGGAAGGAGAAGCTCGGGTGGTGTTTCCAGCGGGGCGGGTGGCATCGCGGGCCCCCCGACCCCCCGACCGCTGGAATGATGTAACATCACTAGCGAGGGCCCCGATGCGCCCGAAGTTGGGGGCCCACCCTCTTCGTGGCATGCAGGAGGTGTTTGGCATCATCAGGATCTTGATCAGGAACTGGAAGTCTTCAGGCTCTGAGTCGTGAGCTTGGTCTCGAGGGTCAGTCTCTGAAGATTTTGGTCGGGACCCGTTTCGGCACGGCTTCTTCTTCTGAAGCTGGAGCGGAGCCTGCTTCGAGTGCGGTTGCTATTTCGGGTCATGGAGACGCTGTGAAGCCCTTGGCACCCCAGAACTTCAAACGCAATGGGATGCGCGACGTTCTGGCATTGTACAGAGGTGTGTTGAAGGAGATTCCTGTGAGGCAGTGGAAGCGCCTGGAGGCTAGGTGCCGCTTGGCTTGGTGGATTGCGCCAGAGATTCAGCGTGAAGGTGCGATGATCAGTGCTTTGAAGGGGACCTGGGCTTCCACACCGTGGTCTCCAATTTGGCATCTTGTGCGTTGTCCCATTCGTACTCTCAGTGAGTTGGCCGACGGCTTCCAGGTTATTGGTATGGTTGCTCCATGTCTGCATTTGAACGTGGAGACCCTTTTCCCTGCCGCCTCTTTCTTGATATTAACCTCATGTTCCCGTTTCCTTCGCTTCGCACTTTTCGGCATCTTTGTTTGTCGCTTCGTACAGCCTGCTTTTGCAGTGGTCCACAACAGAACATCCTCCTCCTTCTCCTCCTCCTCCTCTTCCTCCACTTGCTCCTCCTCCTCTCGACGATTCGCCCTCCGCCCCCCCCATCACACTGCTCCTTTTCCCGCCGCCGCCGACTCCCCCCTCCTCTTCCTCCTCCTCCCCCCTCCTTGTCCTCCTCCTCCTCATCCTCCTTCTCCTCCTCCTTCTCCTTCTCCTTCTCCTTCTCCTTCTCCTTCTCCTTCTCCTTCTCCTTCTCCTTCTCGTCCTCCTTGCCCTCTTCCCCCTCGTCCTCTCGACGATTCCTCCTCTCGACGATTCCTCCTCCCCTCACGTTGCTCTTTCTCCTGCCGCCGCCCCCCCCCCAACGGACCCCCCCCCCACCCCCCCAGGAGTGCGGCCTCCCAGGGGGCGAGGGCTCGGCCGCCTCCCGGCTGCGCGGGTTCGCCATTCAGGCCTCGGCGGGGCACCCAGGGCTTCCTTGCCGATCGGTTGGAGAGAGGGTGCCAGGGAAGGAACAGGTGGAGGAGGAAAGAGGAACGAGGAGGAGGAGGAGGAGGAGGAGGAGGAGGAGGAGGACGGGGAGGAGGAGGAGGAGGAGGAGGAGGAGGAGGAGGAGGAGGAGGAGGAGGGGGAGGAGGAGGGGGAGGAGGAGGAGGAGAGGAGGAGGGAGGAGGAGAGGGGGAGGGGGAGGGGAGGAGGAGGAAGAGGATGATGATGATGATGAGGAGGAGGAGGCGGAGAAGGTGGATGAATAAGAGGAGGACGAGGATGCTGCTGCTGCTGCTGCTGATGATGATGATGATGATGATGGTGGTGGTGATGATGCTGATGCTGCTGATGATGATGACGATGATGATGCTGATGATGGTGATGATACTGCTGCTGATGATGCGGCTGCTGATGATGCTGCTGCTGATGCTGCTGATGCTGCTGCTGTTGATGCAGATGATAATTATGATGAGGATGATGATGCTGACGATGCTGCTGCGAAGGATGCTGGTGCTGATGCTGATGCTGATGCTGCTGCTCATGATGCTGATGATGACACGATGCTGATGCTTCTGCTGCTGATGCTGCTGATGCTGATGTTGATGATGCTGATGATGGTGATGATGCTCATGAGGATGATGATGCTGATGATGCGGATGATGGTGATGACGAGGAGGAGGAGGAGGAGGAGGAGTACCAGGAGCGAGAGGAGGAAGAGGAGGCGGATGATGATGAGGAGGACGACAATATTATCACTACAAGTAATACTACTAACAATAACAGTACTGTATGCACGATATTCTTATTATTACTACTATTATTATTGTTATTATTATTGTTATTATTATTATGATTATCATTATTATTCTTCTTATTTGTAGTATTGTTATCATTGCACTGCTAATTCTAGTGTTACTTATAACAGTATCAACGCTAGTTTTAAAACTAATGGTATTATATTAACGTGACTCACAATACTTCTATACTATCACTATTTCGGATGAGGAGGCGGAGGAGGATGATCAGGACCAGGAGCAGGATCAGTAGGAGGAGGTGGAGGCTGCCGATGAGGAGAAGGGGAACGGGGGATGCAGATGCGGAAAAGGATGAGGACGGAGGACGGATGACGGGGGAAGGAGGAAGGGAGAGGAAGGGAGAGGAGGAGGAGGAGCAGCAGGAAGAGGAGGAGGAGGAGGAAGAGCAGGAGGAGGAGGAATCTGAGGAGGAGGAGGAGGAGGACGAGAACGAGGAGGACGATGACGAGGAGGAGGAGGAGGATGAGGAGGAGGAGGAGGAGGAGGACGAGGACGAGGAGGACGATGACGAGGAGGAGGAGAAGGATGAGG